CTTTTGTATAAAAAAAATGTACTTTCAAAAGAAAATTCATTAGCCGTAGCAATTATAAAAGGTTTCAATGTCTGTATAGGAAAAACGAATCACAAAAAATATAAGATAATTTTCCAGTGATTTGTATGGTTTGACATGAAAATTTAAAATTTAGTTTCATGCCTGTTAGCTAACAACAACAAGGAGCATCTCTAATGTCGAGAGAACTCCAGCTCTACGAAGGATTTGAACACGCTATGCTCAGTATCAAATTTGGATACAACTATTAACCTCTTAGGATTTTGATCAACCCCCAATAGGATTGAGACATAAATGTATTTCAATAATAACAACTCGATTGTATGTTAGATAAAATCTTATTGCAGCATTGTACAATTAGTATTGAGAATTCTTTACTGTAACAATATTTATAGGATTGGATTGAGCTATTATTAATAAATTTGTAATGAATTAAAGCGAACTAATTAAATAATTATTAAGTTGGGTAGCACGTGAATGTTAATTTAATTCCAAAACATTTTCCATCGCAAACCAATTTTAATTAAATACAATTCCATAAATGGGAATAACCAAGGAGTCTAGGACAAAATGTCTATCTAGTGAACTGTAGGTTTCAATGATATTTTAGCTGAAACCAGTCCATTATGAAAACTATCTTTAGTTTATTGCACACGATGAAGAAACAAACTGGTCATATTACTAAATAGTTCATTCTGTTTATCGTGAACATCTGACAAAAATTGAATAAACAAAGTTAGAAATTATAACAGTTTAAAACCTACTGAATACTATGTACTGAAATTGCATACATTTTTTGATTATTGACTGATGATTTATATCTTAAAATCATTAACATCAATCATGCAAAACAATCAACCAATCAAGTAAAGAAAGCATAGTAATTGGCCTTAGACTATATATATATATATATATATATATATATATATATATATATATATATATATATATATATATATATATTATAAACCTTTCAGACAAACCTAAAATCAGTAACTTTTTGTTACTTAAAAATGCAAACACATTTATTATCGTCGTATGCTACTACACTAGAAAAAAGACCCTGTTGACAAAACGATAAATATTTGTAATACATAACCACTGTCGTATGAATCACTTTCTGAATTAATGAAAACAGTTTAATATTAATGATACATAGTCCAATTATCACATACATTTTTTTCTACAAAAATATCGTGAACTTAAGTGATTATCTCGGTGAGCTTGAGGAAGAGTAAAAGTTCCGATCCTTACGTTAATTAGGTAATACATGATATAAACTCTTAACTAAGGTTTGTCTAAAAATGTAGTAGCGACACCTTACTACGAAACTATTAAAGTGAAATTTATTTCACTCAGTCTTTCATCAAATAAAAGTGGTGAGATTTGGATTCGTACTTGACCACTGAAACATTGCTGATGGTAGAAAAGCTATCACACCTTAACAATACCTACATAAAAATGAGTCAAGTTCGCTCATATTCATCTAAATAAGAGATACTGTTGAAGGGGAAATGTAAGCAAAAGCAAGTGAATACTAATATATCAAATGATTAGTGGTCGAGAGAAGTTCATATTTAAACCATCTAACTGGTTTTTGCATCGTTATATTGGGTTCTACTGATCTATGTTTTGCAATCCTTTCGGATATAAATTCCTGTACCAAACAATGCAAGGACAAACCGTTTTCGTATTTCAAAAGATTGGTTTTTAGGAAAGATAAATATTACGCTGATTAGGTAAGTTAACTGTAATCTAAAACTTGAACACAAATGCAAATCGTATAACCTAAGAGAGTCTCTTAACATTAAGCTATGATTTCAATTCACTGAAGGATAAAAGCTATGCACACTACAAAAACAAGGTGATGACTAAGTGATCAAAAAGGTTAGCCACTAAAATCCTGTGAATAATTTCAAAGAGAAGTAGATCTGAATAGACTGACGTTTTTTGTTATAAACTTAAAATATGAAAATGTAGGTTACTCAATATTACAGACAGCTTTATGACAATATGAAAGCGCGTGCGATGATTAAATAAAATCCACAATTCAGTGACGAAAAGAAATAAAATGTTATCTTAGAAAAAATACCTTACTGAGACTTGACAGACTCGCTAAACAGAGGACTGTCATATACATAGGGATCAGAAAAATATCAGCCTAATAAATAGTCAAGCATAAAATTACTACAGACAATTTTTCTACAAGTTAAATTGCTAAAACATAAAACTGAAAAATGACTTAGTGGGTAAGAGAACAAAAGTCAAGTATTCTACTAATACCTCAAACATACTTTTTTATTAGAAATCCATTGCAACTAAAGATATAAGAAGCTGAACAAAGTTAAAATTATCCACAACTGTCTGTTATGGACATGTCCAGTGCAGCATGGCCCAACAGGCTGGGTGAAAAACAAATATAGTAAACGTTAAGGATTGGAATAAAACGTTTTAAAAGTTTTACTTTGATGTATAGTATTCACACATTAAAAAAGAACAAAAATAATCGGAAGCGCTTGGTACAACACTGTGAACGTTGAAGATAACTTCGACCCAAATATCTGAACTATTATGACCGTACTCAGAAATAACATATATACATGAGTGAATATTTTCCTACCAACAAAGATCTTCAACAGATAGATAGAGAGCACGTCAGCATTTTCAAAAAAACGAAGTAACCAACCGAAATGACTATACAGACAGTAGATTAGTTTAGGAACTATTCAAAAACGTTTCTCCTGGAATTCTCTTACAGTTTATTCAATAATTTACGACAACACGAGTTTAACTAGATTCATAAGTATTAAAATTATCAAAATAAATATCAGCAGGCCCTACTGCCGATCCTGTGATAACGTCTCAGACTGTGGGGATAGGTGACATAACTGTAAATCCTTTAGGGAGCATCGATTCCCTCAAAACAATAGTTACACCTTACTGATGAGTTCTAGCTAGCATGAAACTTAGATCAAGGCTAATCACTACTTAATATACATGATAATTTTACGGTTGCATGATTGATAAATCAGCATTCACGTTCAAGAATATAAAAATATTTGCTGAAAACCAAGACAAATTCAAATTTTCACATAACTAACCCCATTATTCAGATATTACACAACACATATTTTACCATTATTCAAGTCCTAAATGAAACAGTTTATCACAAGGAAATAAACTATTGCGAACACATAGACGGAGTATAATTAATTTGTGTTGTAGTTTTAAAAAATGAAATTTTGTGCATGTCGTTTTTGGGGCGAAACTCAGTCAACAATAACCAGTAAGCACAGTGAATGGTAGGCAGAAAAAAAAGTAAATAATGAACAGAATATGGAAAATTGTTAAATCGGTGAATACCTGAGCAGAGAAAAATTCTTTTTAGATTTTTATGGCTCTTACTGAAAGATCATTATCGATAAAACAGTTTTTGATATTTGGTCAAACAGATTTTATGATGATTGACTATGTGACTAATTCTCTGCTAGAAAGAACTATGACTTGATGAACTATGAAGAATGTATTCTGGATATATTCACAAGAATTACGTCTTTCTCAAAAATGCCTATGAAAACCGAAATTCATTTGTCATTTACGTCAAATTTACAAGCAAATTAATTCGGTTCGGTAGGTAAACATAAATTTACGTACTAGGCTTTAAAATACAATTCTTTCGTAAAAGTTACCTGAATCGAATTGGGAAAGAACAGACCTCAATTTGAGAGTCTATTAGAAGAATTAAAATTCCTAAACAATTGAAATATATCTCTATAATCAATCATATTCATCCAAATGTCAAATATATATATATATATATATATATATATATATATATATATATATATATATATATATATATATATATATATATACTAATCGAATCATCTGTTTGGCTCAAAAAGAAATTATCAGTATAATAAACAGCTGTTCAGAATTATTTAATTTAAATATCACGCACTTAATATGCTGCAAACTAATAAGACTGTTGACATATTAAAGTGTATTTTACATGTGAACATCTACGTTGTAGTTATCTATAGTTTGTCAGTGTTAATTAATTCATATTCGCCAAGTTAGTAATTCACTAATTAAATTAATACTTTCTTGATCACAAGATATTTTTTGGAACAATAAACATTTAGCGCATTCAAACAGCAAACTATATGACATGTCAGTTAATAAGTTCAGTTAACATTAGTAAAATAATTTATAAATGTACAAAAACCCATAAATTTTCTTGTTCAAAAATAATAAATCTTTTAAAAATAACATAATGATGTTTCGTGAGATAATTTAAATTATATTTAAAGGCTAACTAATATTGAATCAAAAATATCAATGTTTCTTTATATACTTACTTCTAAAATGATACCGGAACATTTATTCTGTTCATAATAACTGAATAACAAAATTTATACTTAAAAGAACCGACTATTCACTATTCAATGAATATTTCAAATGAAAAAAACTTTGTCTATTATTTAGACGATCTCAAGTATCTCCTAATTAAATGACACTAACGTTTTCCTGATTACTTTGTATTATTTCAATATCTAAAATATTTTATGTTAGATCATAATAATCAGTTAGTAAACATTTGAATTAACAAACATATAATGTGCGAAATTCTGTAACAAAATGAATACAGTAAATATATATAAATCGAGCGGACGCAATGGATCATTTAATAGCCAACACAAACTGGTAAAAGTTCAGTTAAGATTATCGAAAACAGAATACTTTGAAACCTTTCTAATAATGATATAAACATATATTCTTAAAATTTAGGTAATTAAAAAATTACCAACTGAATTTGCCTATTAAATTCTCTTTCTAGGGCGTGATTTTATAGAAAAACATATCCTCAAGCGTTCATGATCAAAATATATTAAAATTAAGATGCAAGCTTAAACTGTTAAAAAAGGATTTCTACATAAAAATAATTGTGACATAGGTTAATATCATGGAAAATGACTTACTTGACAAATAGATGATGATTTTACCATACTAAACTTTGAATTTAACTGAAGTGGTTTTCTGTCCTCTATACCAGATATTGTGATGTAGTTAACAGGTTCATTCTCAGAATAACTGACAACGTGTAACTGATTTTGTTCATCTTTACTCAGACTAAAGTTTTCATTTAGTTCTATCCTTTTGCCGTAGTTATCTGGAGTATATCCAGCAACATTTTGTGACTTTATTGTCTGTGGTTTAACTTTTCGTTTATGATCACAATTGGATCTAGGATTACAACTAAAAGACCTTAGTATTGTTCTCTTTAAGTTTCTGTTCGATGAGTCACTTAGTGATGTATGATCTAGTTTATCATTAATAGTGGCAACATGCGATATTAATTGTTTATATTCAGTAAACGGAGAATGTTTTGCTTGGTTTTCTTCAAGTTGTCTAGTATCACAGAAAGATTGTTCATTAATATTTTCTTTCCTTCCATTGAATGAGAAAAGTTGTTTCATACCTTTATGCATTTTACGCAGACGATAAAAGTCTACCGAAGTTGAACGAATTCTTGATTGTGTATTCGATAGGAAAGGATTAACATTTTCATTAGTCGGTGTAATATCTTCAGATGGTACGAATGTAGGACAAGGATAAGGTGATAGATTAGGCGGATAGTCATAAATGGAATCATACATTATTACATTGTTAATCTTATTTTGTTGATTAGGCTCCACATAAAATGAATTATCAGCTAGACAATATGCATATGGCAAAATTTGATTACAATTCTCTTCATTAGAAGATGGAGTTGAATTATTTTGGCAAAAGTATGGATTATGATGAGTTAATATTTGACTTGAAGGATGAAATGATGCTGGTCTAGGTCTATCATAAAGGTGTGGCTTTATATATTGTGAATTTACCAGATTGGTTTTTTCATAAGCCGAGATAGACATTCCTGAAGATAAATAAGAATTAATTGCAGGGACAGTAGTTGATGTTACTTGAATTGGATAATTATGACTATTTGTTTTCCGGTTTGTTCTATACATATTTGTGTTAACGTGACATGAGTTTTCAGTATATTGTTGATTGTTGTGTAGTACACATGTATTTGGGACTAAATTGTTTTTTGGTTCGATACCATTATAAAAGACTGCTTTATTGGATGGATCTGCAGATTTTGCACGTCTTTTAAAATGTGCGATAAACAGGGCAAGGCGTCTTGCTCCCTTATCTTGTCTATTAGTAGTGGTTTTTTTCTGCCATTTTTCCACAAAAGCTGATGTATTCTCATTCGACATAAGTGTCTTGGACTTACGAAGTAAAGTTAAATTTGGCGAAATATGAGTGCTACCATTATTGTTATTCATGAACTTGGAAGGGACACTTTCTAAAAAATTGTTCATCTTCCAAGTTTCTTGTTAAATGTATAATCACATCGGATTTACAAGCTGAAAAAATGAAAAAAAGAAGGGTAAGTTTCTTTTATCGAAGTCAGCTGTACATTTAAAATTTCATGAACAATCATGATTCATAATGCCGCATCATTACAACACATATCATCCCAACAAAGGGTCAATAATCAGACGAAACGCATAAAATTCGAAAGGACTGGTACCAATATTAGCTTGATAACAAACATAGATAATGTGGTATAAGAATATACTTTAAAAAGACTTTCGTACTTACAAAACTGAACATCTCGAATTTTATCAATGTTTGATTGATGTTGCAACTACATCTTCTCAAAGATATTCATAAAAGTCAGACTTAAAGCATCCAGTCGCTAGATTGCAAACATAGACTGACAGATATGCCTGATTTTTTTCAGTAAGAAAAATGTTTAGAACCATCAGTATGAAAGCAATGGTTTTCATTTGGTCAACTAAGCTGAAGGTAATTTTATTGTCTTATAACTATTCCCTAACTTCTGTATAGACAATTATGCAATTAGAATTAAAATAAAAAGAGTATAAATTAATTCACCAAACAATAAATTACTTAAAACACTTTAATAATAATAACAAATGGTAAATATATTTGCTCAAAATAAATAACAGTAAAGTACATCAATAAATAAATATTATTCACATAAAAATTCACTGGATGTTCATTTTAAAAATCACATGTTTATCAGATCTGAATGAAAACAAAAACAATGTATAGATTCTGCTGACAAGGTAACACTGTAAATACTGAGTGATGCTCATTTGAATGAAGCACTTTTGTACCAATCAAGGATACACCTTTGAAAAGTTTAAAGTAGAATAAAATTAGAAACTGGACTGTGAATTCTCGAACAACCATGCAAGCATCAAGAGAGTTTTAACTAGAAAACCACATTGTTCATGAAAACAACCATTTTCTATGAATAACTGAATATACTTATGACAACAACATTTGCATTGTGACCGAAATAGCTAAAGTGTATTTTACACTTACTCAAAATAAGACTTTATATTGACAGTTCACAGAGCAGTTTATATAATAGCAACCATAGTGATTTAACGTGTTTATTTAGCAAGCCTACAAAATTAATAAGACGTTCGTGAAATTCAAAATCATCTCCACGACGTAAATTTTCCAAACACTAGAAGATATATTGTGGGCGAAAAGAGATTTTGTCATTTCGAAACAAAATACGTTTGATTATGTTATGGATAAGATTTTTTTCGCATGGCTTTTCAAAACATCTGGAAAACATGTTGCTCTGGATGTGAACGATATTCTCAAATTCAGCATGAACATATATGATCAATGCACAGAAATTTCACTAAGAAAGCACTGATCATTCTCAATAAATAACGATAAAGTAAAATGGTGCCGATACGTCATCATTGAGCTAAATAACCTATACTTTCAAACAATACATGGATTTTTGATTCTTATCTGGCATGTTGGTAAACCTGATCAGTATATTTTTGACAAAAATGTAGACCTTACTTATCAATAAAGATCTTTTAAAAAACTTGAATAGTAATGCAACAGTTTTATATACGAAATAATGTAAACTTCACAATAATAAAAAGCTAATAAATCTTAAGTAACATTCATGATTCTCCTATTAATAAGTTCACTTTGCACAAATGCTAAGATGCTAAATAAACAGGATCATACATCGACATTTTTGGACTCAAGCCGTACTTAGAAAACTATATTTAGGTCTTTTAGACAAACCTACACAAAAAGACTCATATTTAGGGTAAACTGACAGTTCACAAACCTCCTAATATTAATTTAGCTTGTCTCCAGTTATTTAAATGATCAAAGCTAGATATAACGAGAGCTTACAAGCCCCTGTAAGACAAATATTCGAAAGTAATCGATATTTAGAAGTCCTTTTCAAGCTTTTGTGATAATATGAAATTTTTGTAAATACCTGAAAGCACGAGTTTAATAAAAGTCATTTTGGTTCTCTAAGAAAAACAAATGATCGCGAAAATAGGGACCCCTAACTAATTATAATTTGATAAGAAACAACCGACGCCGCAAGTATATGACAAACGGATTAAAAAAAGACATGTGTTATGAACATTCGATGGAAATTTATAAACGATAAGAAAATCTGTTAGTAATTATCTATAAAACTAACTCTAAGATTCCCTATAAACAAATCATGAATTACCAGTACAATCACAAACACAGTAAGCGCTACTTCGTAGCAAATGTACTTCAGGTATCACAGAAAGTTCAAAAATCATATGTAGCGTCGTCAGTAAAAAATATCTGTGAATATATTCAGATTTCAGTAGATCAACTAATAGCTCACAGAAAGCCTCATACTAAACATCTTCAGGTGCCATCCGTAATTTCTGAGCACTTGACAACTTTTGATCACACGTTTAATTAAAAAGACTATTACCTGGGTTTTTTAAAAATTAAAGTCCTAATATAATAAATAAACACTACCTTGATGATTTGAGATTTAATGAACACCATCTGACCAAGATGATTCACATAGATTCCACAACAGCTCTAAACAACAACAAGCTCAAAATACCAGTTAAACATTAAAATCAAAATATTCCAAAGAGCTACTAAATATATTTAAAAACATACCACGCTAAATACCAACACGTAATACTCAACCCAAAAAATCGACTGCTAAAATACACCTCTAAACGTTCTTGACAAAATGGCCGAATGTTACACTAATCAGAAACATACTATGCCCCAACAAAAACTCACATTGTTCAACGAAATTCAAATTGTTTCCAAAGTTAGAAGTACAATACTGTTGACCGATTAAAACAATGATCACAATTGTATTTCACATGATCAGAAAATATTCTTTTGACAACTGTGCACAACCCAAACGAGTACCTTCGTGATCATTTAGTAAGAAGGTTTCATCATATCACCTTTACAGGGATGGAATAAATTCGAAGTTCCATATTATTCTGAATCCGATTTTGCGTCACATATTACAGATCAGATGGTTTTCATTCTACCTGACATTATCATATTTCCTACAAAGTTTATTGATTTTCATTAAAGCTTTCAGTTCGTGGAGGTAGTTACCACAAACTTATATCATAGTTTTCTTTTTTTTTATTCAAATCATGAACTGATTGATGTTAAACCAACACTGAAAGCCTGTTAACACCGGACTACTGTTTCATCCGGTTTCGTACTCACATGACAAGACACACCTACTCTTTCTGACAAATACACACATCTACTTCTCATTCTCATTTATCATCTGTCGTCAAAATGATTGTTAAATATATTTCCTAACTACATTTACAAATCCCATTGATATCCTCATTGAGTTCATGCATCCTTCATTATATCACTCATCCTCGGAACCACTGACTACTTATAATTGCTGATTACGAGAACAAAGAAGAACTTAGATACTTCTCTTTGAAGTAAGTTATGTAACGTCTTATTTTTTTATAATTGATATTTCGGTATATAATCCATTTTGTCTATCCTTTTGATGTTCACTTAAGTATTACGTCAGAGTTGATGCCTTCGAACTCTCATGAGTTCTAGTAGTCCCAGAGAATATCATAAGAACATTTGTGTCGACGCTGAGCGAATATATTTCCCGCAAAATTAGTGTGTTTGTTGATAGTTTGTAGCGGTAAATAAATCCCCCAAGCTCTGTAAGTTTTCGACATTAGATGATGAACATATGTTTTAGTGGACTCATCTAGCTGAAGACGCTCGGTCATGCATCGGCACCAGATCACGTGTGGTAACGCTCGTGCTCAACATGTACCGCAATCGCTAGCCAGATTAGACCAGAGAATTCCGATAACATGGTTATCGCCAAATACACTCTTCCGATCTCATCGAATCTGTTTTTTTATTTCCCTCGGTGGGAACAAATTATATTAGAAGGTGTTGCTAGTAAAAGCGTTTTCAAACACTGAATACATGTGCCATCTTCATTGGTGAGACCGACGTGATCTGGTACAACTAATTGCAAAAGTGAGTCGGGGCCATTGTAGAATTTATATATATTATTACCTTATTTTTTGAATTTTTATACAGGGTGATATACATCAAACGAGCGTTCTTAAATCATTTGTTTCTAAATTTCACGTCAGAGATTTTCAGACATCCTTCAACATGATCCCTGAGCACGGTTGTATATCGTCTCCGCGATAGTATGTAACTCTTGTAGACTATTTCCAACTCGTATTCGAACGAATAATCTTGCCCTTAAGTAATTTTGATGGAGTCTATTTCGTCAGTAACGTGGTAGACATGAAACTGATGGTGTTTCTCAATGTACGAAGAAAATTTTGTGCTTGACCATTACAACAAATGTATCAGGAAGCAATGAAGGAATACCTTCACTAGATATCAGTAACCCGGTTCAGCTGCATCTACAGTGAAATAAGAGCCGCTAGCAATTACTTTAATTATTAGAAACAGCAAAAGAACATTTTCATTTCTTGAACTGCGTAGCTAATACCCAATGAAGTGTTGGAAGTGCCTTAGTCTACCTAAAAACAAAAAAAGAAGACAGGTGCATAATATATGCCCCAAAATTGTCCATAGCAATTTTCATGGATTTCATATCTGGACCCAAACAATGTTTTTCATGGAGGAAAGATAATTATTAGGTTTCGAGTATGTTTCACAATTATATGCTGTGCTATGTAAATCTGCATATTTCTGGCCATCGACAAGATATCAGTGACTCAGTTTCTCCACTATGAATGTTTGAAAAATCGAAAAGAACGCACTGAGGATGAAATAACAACACCTAACTCAAGAATATCAAATTTATAAACTGGACAGGAAATCTATGTTTCGGACAAACATTCCAACCCCCTTGTATATTTCGTAGGTAAGCCTTTTGTTCTTCACACCAAATAAGTCAAATATGAAATTTCGGAAGTAACGGAATGACAAAAAATTCAAAGAATAAGATGAAAATCGTACAGTAAGGCAACTACTAGTAAACGTAATTCCATGGGATTTTTCCTTGAAGAAACATTTTCGAGTCGAACTGGTCGCTTCATAATCAAGCTAAATCGTCAACGGCAATCAAGCTTCCACGATATTCAAAGTCAATGCATAAAACGAACAGTACGTTCGACTTATGGAGGTGATTTTCTTAAGTAGGCGGATTAAAAGAGCATCAAGTATTTAATCATGAGCTACTTTATCTGGACCATGAATAATAAGATCACCTTAACATACTTCAACATCTTCATATTGTTAATCATTACCAAAGTGGATGTAAATTGATCTAGGAATCAGGAGATGATTGACTTTTATGCCAACTTTCAAAAAAGGAACCACAAAGTTGACTACGAAGATCTTCAGTCGCAACTATGGTGCATTGTTGCCTCCAACAAATATCATTTCAGTGCTAATATATAATCTACACATATTCAAGGTGTTTTATCGTCAAAATTCTGGACCTTGAAAATATAGCAGTTCTCCTCGTTGAATGCTAAAGTGGTTCATTTATTCTTTATTCACAAAAATAATTCGATGAATTGTGCAATATTTCTCGCGAACCATAAAGGATTATTTAACTTTATGGAACATTAAACCAGATGGTTCTTGGAATTCCATGGGCTGGATAATTATTTCCCCAATACACTTAGCACATGCAATTACCAAATTTTCAGGTTAATGTCAGAACCCTTGAAGGTCAATAGACGCAATTCAGTTGTAGGCCATTTAAAATTTCATAGAGCTTGTACGAACGGTTTCGCTTCACTTGCCAAGAACTCGTGAATAAACGTAGGAACCGGCACTTTTAAACGCTAACTCACATCCTCGTAAAAGTAGTATGTTTCCGAAAATTCAACATTTGAAGCATTGGCATAACAAAATAGACATAACTTACAAAAACGCAGTTCTTCTCCAAGCAAGTGTCAAAAAACTTCACTACTTAAATTGTGGGAAATCGCTCACCGAATTTTTTTCACATTTTCACGATGATAATAATAAGAGCTTCTAAAAAAAGCGAATTTGAGCGACCTGAAAACTGAGCAACGTATGGAAAGCTTTGCAGGAATCTTGTCTACTATTATATTAGTACTGCGCTAATAATAGACCTAGTCCTAAAATTGTAGACTTGTCATGATATAACTGCTTAATCTATAAGATCTTACGTAGAAGTCATACCATCGTCTACATCATCTCATCTTATCGTAACAATCACCAATACATGATGTTGAAAATGTCATAAGTATTCGGAGTTTGACAAAGCTTTAACCAGTAACACCTTCTGTATGAAGCCTACCCACCAAGTGAAATCAAAAGACAGAAGCGAGAAGGTTCGAATATATATTTGATAGGCTATCAATATGTCGTGAATCGACTGATCTAATCTGGCTAGCGATTGTAGGGGTTGTTGAGCACGGCGCTCCCACTCGTGATCTGATGCGGATGCATGACCGAGCGCCTTCAGCTAGGTGAGCCCATTAAAACTAATGTGGTCAGCACCCAATGTCGAAAACTTACAGAACTATTTATTTTAGGGATTTTTTACCGCTACAATGTAGAACAAGCTTAGGTTAGAGATAGAACAATATACTTAACATGAATAAAAGATATGAGATGACGTTCAACAAGGAGCACGCCTGCGAGGCCCAGCCATACCATTCAATCAACTACAATTAATTCAATCCATTCTTCCTGCCCTCTTAATCGTTGGGTTTTTCTCCAGAACCAGACTTTCATGAGGACTGAGTGACAAACCCACGTTCACGTTTCCTTGTAGTAATAAAGGTGCTGCCATGCGAATTTAACAGGTAAGTCACACCTAGTATGTTTACTAGTGATGTTCCTGAACCGTATGACATTGTAATAAAGTCTATGAACCTGGAGACCTAACCGACCGACAAAGGTTAGACCAACTTTTCACGGCATCGAGTTGCAACAATGCTCACCAAAGAAATGCTGCTACCTATGCGAGTGGTCAATTATTAACGTACTACCGATGGTGCCCTCCTTACACAGCCTCCCTAACAGATGCAAGCACAAATCTTCACAATCCACCTGCTACCGTATTATGGGGGCCTCTAAAATCCCTAGCACTGATGTTAGTTCTGTCAAACCGGAACTTCAAACAACACAAAATGACCTTACATATCCCTGTCATAATTTCACGCGTTACCTTAATATCCATCATAACAACAAACACTCCACCACTCCCCGAAACCCCCCTTTATAAAGCGTCCCTCAACCATAAAAGTGAGATAATCTTGATTGATGTTGGTACGACAATAAGTGTAGCTGATCATCTAGAAATTGCAGGAAACCCAATGTTACAGAAGCCAGTAATCTTATTTCAGAACGGCTTTGTCGGCCTGAAACAGACAAAAATTCATACAATAGCACGACGCTGTATAAATTACCAGAAATGTATGGTAATAATGCATAACAAATGTCCCGTGGGTTTGTTTGCAACTCACAACGCTTGTTCCGGCTACGTTTATGTTCATTCAGTAAACTTATATCTTAATATATGTAGATCTTTTCACACGACATCAGAAGCATTACCCATCATGGATATTACTGCTGAGACAGTAGCCCTCGTTTTCGTCGAACGACAGTTAGCAAACTTCAGGTATTACTACAGTCTGTGGATGTCAGTCCCAATCTGGAAACCTCACTTATTTCAATACACCACTAGCAATCACACAATTTCGATTTCACCGACAGTTGGAAGCTTCACTCTCGGCTGCAAATGTTTCACAGCGGACTGACGCTCTTTCATTCGTTTTACTCTGT